ATCCTTCAAAAAAAATTCTGTAATAAATATAATCAGTACCTTAACAATCCATCCTCATGCTCCCTCTCGTTTTATGCTCGGACAAAGACAAAAGAACATTAACAACTTCATTAAAAAATAAAATCTGATTTATATTCAGACAAACAATATCGTTTACTAATTCTGTCTTTCTATTTTACTCAACTTAGGGAAATATCAATAACATACACGTGAGAACTCTATATCTTCCAAAACTCAATTGAATATCAATAGAATACGTTAGCAAACTCTACATCTTCTAAAACTCAACTAAATAATAATAGGATATACGAGCGAACTCTACATCTTCCAAAACCCAACTGAATATTGATTTGATGCACTAACATTTACCTTCATTTTTGTTCATTTAAATTTTAATTAAGATATTTTAAAACTATGTTTAATTCTGCCTGACACATATATATATATCTTTTTTTTAAGTCGAAAACTTAAATGATTATTGATATTATTTCTTATTCACATATTTGATACGTTTTTTTTTTGTTTCAATAAATTCATCTTGTACGTGATTTTATTTGTTTAAAAAAATTTTCAAGATCTTATTCTTGGAATTGAAAATTCTCTTCAAAGTGTCAATAAACAAATAATAAAGATTGAATTATTAAATTTATTTATTTAGATATATTTAAAGAATATCATAAAATTAATAATTCAAATGTTTGAAAGAAGTAAAAAAAAAATATATTTCAATAATTTATTATGATTATCTATTGAGAAAATCTTGTTAATTATAAATTAATTTATTTTATTGAAAATGATTTACAAAAAAAAACATTTTGAACTTATTTTCAAAAATCTCTGCTGATTATAATCTAATAAAAAACAAATCGAATTCTTTTGTTTTGAGTTTTTTTTTCTAGAGTCCAAAAATTGCAATAAAATCATTATAAAATAACAAATCAACAATAGTATGATTTTTATTTAATTTCACAATATGTTCGACAACGAACTGTTATTCCAACATATTTTTATATTATTTGAGATAAGAAAATATGTTGTTATTATTGATTTATTTGTAAGAATAATTTCTCATATAAATGGATGTATTGATTGATCAAAATTAATTTCGGTAAGATTTTATTATAGTTTCATATTATCATCAATTGAAGAAAGTTGAATTAAAAGTTTTTTTTTCTGTTCATTTGCATATTTAATTCAATATATGATTATCAAGTTCAATTGCTTGTGAGAATTATTCATAGAAAAATCAACTTGTCAATGATCTTGATTATCACGTTTTTTAACTTTTAATTCACCAGATGTTTTTTTTTGTTTTAAAAATTAATTCATCAATAGATTTATTTTAAATAAGTTGTTCAAAAAGAAAATGTACAGTAGCTGATGTTGTATGATCACATAAGGAGTGTTTCGGAAATCACGTATTCAGGTAAAGGGGGCGCCCGAAAAGCGCACACTTGATCACTAGGGGGAAGAAAGGTCAAGCCGACTGATCACCTGATCAGCGGCCAAAAAATCGTTCTGGATGTTTTCCGAAATTTTGCACAGCCTTGAGGAGGAACTTTCGCAAAGCTACCCCTCTTCCTTGGGTCCGGTGACGATTTTGTATGAAAAATGAAAACTGAGGAGTCTTGAAAGCTCCCACTCCCCCTGTGTCAAATTTAATTTTGTTATAGGCAAATGGAGTTAGCTCAGAAATTCCTATTATCCATGTTTTACATGAGAAATTAATCTAAGAAATCAGAAGATAATTAACTATAAGATATTGACTATAAGTGGTATAAACAAATATTTCATTTCAAGTCTTGTATTAATCAATTGCTCGATTTATTTTTATATTTCAGTGCATACATATTTTTAAACTCTTTGAAAAATGTTAGATTTTGGTCAAAATCATGTCTCCTCTCATGCTGTGTGTTCTAGTCACATCAGCTGTTTTCGCATGTGATTAGTCATTAAAGATGATACCACAAAAATAATTAGTCATTAGGTAGTAGAGTAAATAAATCAATGTGGAAAAGTATGCCACCATCTCATAAAATATACTGTGACATATTAAAATCGATCTCTTCAAGATAGGAAATATTAATTTAATAGAAAAATTATTAAAAAAAACAGAGTAAACCATTTGAACGGTTAATTTCAATGAAAAATCGATGACATGGATAACACCTATACATTCAAGATGGCAGCATTGATGTTGCACGTATTAGTTTTTAATAATAAGAAACTTTACGTTTCTAGAATACAGACCGATATCAGATATATGTGATAAATTGTACAGATAAGATAAAACAAAGGAGAAGAGGTGATAAGGTCATAAATCGGCCCATAAGACTTTTTCCAGCAGGATCCCTACTATCTTATATCAAACGAAAGATTACGTGAGATAAGGATTTTCGGTGACGAGATCAAGTATTTTTCCACGGATGAGTAAAAAGTTTGCACAAGGTCAATATTCAATGTTTTTGGACCTAAATTTGTTTCATGACTAATCCGATATAGTACCTCTTCTCATATGAAAACAATAAGAAAATATGATTTTTTTTTACTTCAACTAGTAGGTCATATGATCTACCAGATGAAGTAAAAAAAATTTTTGTATTGTCTTCATATGAAAAGAGGTACTATATTAGATTGATCATGCAAGCAATGCAGAATTAAAAATATTAAATATTGATCTTGTTCGAAAAAATAGTTGATTCCATCACCGAAAATGCTTATCTCAACGTGACCTTTCGTTTGATATAAGATAGTAGGAGTCATACTAATAAAGGTCCTATGGGCCAATTTAAGACCTTATCATCTCTCTTCCTTTCTAGCACGGGATACCGAAAGATGCGCACGGTGGTTTTGTGAGTACTGTATGATAGTGTCATACGAGGACGAGGGTATGGGTGTAAGTGTTGGTATGGTTGGCAGAATCTGTTTTATTTCGAAATTTGATATTTCGATTCATGTGTAAGTTTCGTCGTGCACATCTTTCGTAGACCTTCACAATAAAATTATAATGAAAATCTTAGACAATAAATTTTTACTACTATCAGAACTGTATTCTAAATGATTTCGTTTATGTTTTTTTAAAAATGTGTTGAATGTCAAATTTGTAAAAAGTCATTTAAAAATGGTGCTGCACTTAATGGTGATATGCGTTTACATGGTGGATTTATTGATGTATGTTAAAGAAATATGTTTATTTTTTTTAAAGATATTTATACCCTACAAAGATTGTACCTAATAGTTTATTTATTTTAGAAACCAACATCCTCATCATCACCTTTAATTGAAAATACAGAAAAAAAGAAACGTTTATCAACAGCAGTGAAACGAAAACGTATTAATTCTCTATCAACACCAATAAAAATAAAAAAAGAAGAACAAGATATATTAATGATTTCAACAACAAATAATATATATCAATCACAATCATCATTTACAAATTTATCATCAGGTTCAAATATTATTTCAAAACATTTATATAATACAACATTATTATCTCCTGCACGTCCATCATCATCATCACCTAATAATACAATTTCAACAACGCCATTTTCTCAATATACAATGAAAAATCCCTTAAATCTACAATCATCACCAAAACAAAATCGAATACCAACTCCATTATCTACACATGTTATTCATCCATCTCGAATAAATATTCAAAATGTAATGATACCACATGATCCAATGGTAAATCCACAAATATATCTGAATACATCATCACCATTACAATTGTATGATGAAAAAATTAAAGAACCATTATCATCTGAGAATTATTCTCAACGTCTACAGGTACGGACCTAAAAAGTGATGAATAGAATAGTAAATCATGCGTTATAGTCGCATGATTGACTTTTTTTTGTGATTTTAAAATAGTTTAATAAAAAATCTTATCATTTTTCAATAGATAGAAAGATAATAATGAATAATTTTGTAAAGTAAGAAATCAAATCCAATAAATTTTTATCAGATATTGATTAGCGAAAATAGAAATGATTTCTTTTTGAAATTATTTTTTTCCTCTGAAATCAATACTTCTAATAGCATTAAGATCTTGGTGAGATTAGGAACAAGGACTTGTCCAATAGGTCTTTGGAATCAAGTTATGATCGTTTTACTGAATTTGCCCATAGGAAGATCTAATGATCTGTAGAATATCCTAAAAGTTTTAGTTGAAAAGCATATTCTTTTGTCAAAATATTAAATTTCTAATTTTTTTCGACTGAAATTTTCAGGATATTCTAAAGATTATCTGCCGGTAATAATTCAGCTTCAAAAGTTTATGGCGACGAATCCTTTTAAATGTTTGCTAGTCTTACCATAGTTTATATTATCTAAAAAAAAAAATTATCTTTATTCGAAAAACATTGAAGTTAAATTATCATTTTAGGGAAATGGAATATCTTTACATCATTCATATGTTGGATCATCACCATATCAATCTCCATCACATATTCCACAATATCCAATACATTCATCATCACCAATTCCAACAAATTCAATACCATCAAATCTATTATATCGTTTTCTTCCAAATGTTGAACGATTCAAATCAGATTTTTGTCTTCCACAACAAATATCTTCACCATTAAATGAATCGATTCGTTATACACAATCACCACATTTTGGTCATTTACCTAGTAAAAAAAAACTCCAAATATTAAATATCAGAAAAAAAAAATTTTTATTTTTATTTTTATTTTTTCGTAGCACCAAATCCAACTTCATTAATAATAAATACACCAATAACATCACCATATTCAAATCCACCTACTAGTCATTATTCACCATTATCTCCAAGTCAAAAGTGCAATAAAGATAATAATAGTATGTAACCATCACCAAATATACATTCAACATCTTCATCATGTTCATCTTTATCATCATTAAATATTATTACATCACAAAAACAAATTCAAAATTATATAATGAAAAAAGAAATACAAGATAATAACAAACAACAACAAATTAATATTGAAAATCAAACATCACCATTAGCAGTACTTGAAATTGTTCCTGATATTGATAGTCCAATAAAAAAAATACACCATCATCATCACCATCATCAACAATATCAAGTAATACACATTTTAATTATGACAATGTTCAACAAGTAGAAAAATCTGAATCTACTCAAAGTTCATTTTATTGGCCATCACAATTACGAATACAATTAAATCTTAATGTTACAAATAAGACATTAGACCCACTTCCATCAACACCATATACACCACCACCAATGCTTAGTCCATTTCGAAAAGGTCCTAGTCTTTATTATCGTGTTTTTTCTCAACTAGGAACATCAACAGAACCATCATTAATACTAACAACACTATTTCAATCATATACACCTATTGGTGAAGAATCAGCAGGTCCTAAAATTAATATTGGTAAAGAATATCAAGCAATTATACCAAAATTTCGTACAAAGTTACAAGATGATGATTAAGGTTTGTACAATAAACATCAAATTGATAATATGCGAATTACTAGTTATTTTCTTGTTTCTCATAATCGAAAGATTTGATCAATAGGAAGAGTAA